TTTCAAATGCACTTTGCACTATTTTTCTGATGTAAAACCCTTTATTGGGTTTATATTTTGCCAGGATGAGGCACGGGTGCAGAAGGTTACAAAGCGAATTCACACACTGGAGGAGGTGAACATCAACGTCAAGCTACTGACCGAGATGCTGTCCCACTACAATAAAGACAGTTCCACTGACTCAGACAAGGAGATTATTAAGGTGTGCGTCCATGCCATAGACTGTATATAACAGATGGAGGTGACCACTGCGATGTAACACCTGTGAGCTGCCTTTTTGAGATTGATTTTAGTCACCAAAAGTGGCCATAACTGGACAAGATGGTGCAGCTTTGAGTTATCAGCTAGCTAGGTTTGTTCGGAAACTACATCGATAGACTGCGAGATGAATCGCACAGACACAGTCACGTGCTAATTATTGCAAATGAAATAATATCTTCATTTAAAAAATGGAAGCACATTCTTGTTGGACTGTATGAGTACATTTAACCGAATGGATAGCTATGCAATGCTATACTGAATTAAAATGCTCAAAAACGCACAAACACCATAAACACAGCAGACACTTCCAGTTCAGTCATGTGATTTAGCTCAGCAAGGAGCTAACAACTAAAGCCTGCTGTGTTGATGACCCACCTGTCATTCAAATAATGGTGGATGGGTGATGATTCGGGCTTGTTTTGCAGCCACAAGGCACCTTGCAGTCATTTTGCCCATGAACCTTTCTGTTTACCAAAGTATTCTGGACACAGTTGGGAGGCCATCCGTCTGACAGCTGAAGCTTGGCTTAAATTGGGTCATGCAGTAGAACAATGACCCCAAGCACAGCAGCACATGTACAACAACGTCTAAATGTTGTGAAGGGGGAAAATGACCTACAGGACCCATGCACGTTTTTTTTCTACTGAAAATTTTGAAATTTTAACCTCATATTTGGAACCAGCCTCAAGTGGCCATTTAAGGAACTGCAGTTTTTGGCACTTTGTGTGGAAATTGCTGGTTGGTCCCTGCAGGGGAAAAAAGCACACATACAATTCAACAGGATCATCTTCTTTATTCTTTACTCAACAATCAGAAAATGGAAAAAGTTGGAACAGATATTTTCAATTCAGTATTTAAAGGCACAGATAAAGTAATTCATATTTTGCACTCCAGTAATTTGTTTTTATCATTTCATTGTGGGTTGAATGCACCGCGTTTTTTAACAAATATAGTTTGAACCTGATGTTTTCATTTGATATTTTCAAATTCTTTAATGTCTGCCAAGTTTCTAACAGCAGCAGTACACAGCAGCTGGTGTCACATCTGCACGCTAACCGTACAGCACGTCCTTTGTGTCACCTCTCAGGAGCTCTACGAGCGCTGTGACAAGCTGAGACGAGCTGCTTTCAAAATGGCCACTGAGACGGAGGACAATGACACCAGTTTAGGTTTGTCACATTGGTCTTGGTTTGACTGAGCGAGCCCTGCCTTCACTTTTTGTGCGTAAAATCTATAACCACTGACCTTCGACTCCTCAGGTGACATCCTCCAGGCCAGCGATGACCTCTCCAGAGTCATCAACGCCTATAAGAAGATTGTTGAGGGGCAACCAATCAACGGCGACAGTGAAGAACCTCTATCGACAGCTGGTCACAGCGAGAGCGGTCAGTTTTTTTGGGGGGTTTTTTGCTAAAAACTTGATTGCCCTTTTGTATCTAATACATCTGCTGCATTCTCTTTTCATGTCTGTGTCGCTCAGCAGAAACCACAGATACACTGATCGACCTCGCCGGCCTTGATGTTCCGAGCCCTCCACAGCCTGCTGCTCCACCGCCCCAGCCCTCACATCCTGTCGCTGCTGATCTCACAGTGATCCCCATCCCCGTCCTGCCTCCTCCCCCCAAACGCCTCGCTGGCAGTCAGGGCAGCAGCCCGAGTCATCCCCCTGCCAGCAAGGCCTCCACTGCACTCTCTCTCCTGGATGATGAGCTACTGTCTCTTGGTAGAGCATCCCCAACGTGTCTCATTGAATTAAAGGAGCAGTTTGACAGTTTTGGAAATGTGCTTTTATTGTGTTAGTGAAGCGCTAAATGAGAAACCATCTAACGAGTCATGTTTTTGTTGTATCTTATGAGAGATAAAGAAAAAAGTCTTGTATGATGACAAATGCCTGCATCATCTCCCAGGACTGAATGACCCACCTACCTCTCAGAGCAGCCAATCAAAACCAAAGCTGGATGAAATCTCCAACCAGTGAGTTCCTTGCAGGTACTCTAGGATAACTAACTGCAGATATGTAGTCAGTGTGTAACAGTGTGTAAATTATCTTTCCTCCTCCTGTCCTCCACAGGCCCAGCAACAAGTGTTGGTATGTTTGGCAGCATAGCTTGTTCAGGTCCAGTGGTGCCACCAGCTGAGCAGCTGTCACCCACAGTCTACAGAACCTGCAGGATCTGGCCATGGGCTTTTCAGATCACAAGAGGTGATATTCATGTTTTTCCGTCCACTGTTTATTTGAAACCTGTATTTTAAATTCTCAAAGTAGCAAGGTTTCTGCAATTCTGTCTCGTAAAGCACTAATCTGAGGATATTTTGGCATAAATATCCGATACTTTCCAAGAACAGCATTGTGAGGTCTTATTGGCATTTATTAAATGGGATTTTCAGTTTATCCAACCAGACGACGGCCAGAGGAACCAGCTTTGGAGTGCCTGCAGCAGCACCGCCCCTCGTACCTGTGCAGGGCTCGCCTCTTCAGCGGCTCTTCCAAGACCCTTGCCTGGCTCCCCAGCCTTGTCCCATGTGAAGGCTCACAGCTTTGACTCAGCCCCAGGAAGTCCGCTGTTTCGCTCTCTGTCCCCTTGCCACCCTCCACTCCAGGGCAGCCCGGCTAGAGCCAATGAAATCTCCCTGAGCAACGTACACGTCCCTCTGGAGGCCATCAGACCGAGTAAGAGACAAAGACAGGGCTCAGCCTGAGAGGGTAGTTAATGGCTGCCTCTGCTTGACTGGCTATTCTCTGTGTCTTCAGGTAAAGTCTTACCTGTGACTGCATATGACAAGGATGGCGTTCGCATGCTGCTCAACTTTGCTTCTGACTGTCCCCCTGGGCGGCCTGACGTGTTGGTAATGGTGGTGTCGATGCTTAATACAGCACCTCTGCCTGTTCACAATGTGGTCCTACAAGCTGCTGTGCCCAAGGTAAAGACATTAACACATCTGTTCTTTCATTGTGGGCATCACCTAGTGTTTGCTTTTGATTGGCTCCTACATTGTGACCTATCACCTACTCATTTCCTGAGCGATGACTGGAAAAGTCTCTCTTTAGATCTCTTGAAATGTTTTGTCTTATCCTCCAACCACAGGATTCATATGTAAGTCAGTGCTGATTTTGGCTTTAAAGTACTTTTTATGGATGTTTTCATTCCTTCTTTATTTTTGTACTATTCAAGATATTTGTGATGAGTAGAGGTTTGATTGAAATCCAAAGTGGCAGTTTAGCTCTATCAGATTACTTCATTTTTCATATGCTGAAATGTTATTGGATGATTGGATGTTTCTTGTCCAATAACACCTTCTAAAAATGTTTAACACAGCTTTAAAACCTTTCCAAGAACACACCCCAGTCAGCCAATAATCTTAAAACTAACTACCTAATGTTGTGAATGTCTTCCTTCTGCCGTTAAAATAGCTCTGACCCACTGGTGCATAGACAGTTCCTCAACTAGCAACAGGTCAGTGCCTTTAGCTCTTTGTTCGTGGCAGTTTTTGCACTGTGTCAGGGTGCATTGTCCAGCTGGGGGGGAACGCTGATGGAGGGAATGTCTTTGCCATAGAGGGGCGTTCTCGGTCTGTTTCTCAAGCTTCACTGCAGAGTATTGCATTATTGCAGATTGATAATAATAATGGATTGGATTTATATAGCGCTTTTCAAGGCACCCAAAGCACTTTACAATGCCACTATTCATTCACTCTCGCATTCACACAGTGGTGGAGGCAGCTACAGTTGTAGCCACAGCTGCCCTGGGCAGACTGACAGAAGCGAGGCTGCCATATCGCGCCATCGCCCCTCTGGCCAACACCAGTAGGCGGTAGGGTAAAGTGTCTTGCCCAAGGACACAACGACCAGGACAGAGAGCCCGGGGATCGAACCGGCGACCTTCCAGTTACAGATACGCTTCCCAACCCCTGAGCCACGGTCGCCCAAATAGACTGTTTGGGGACACTGAGCTGATTTACAGATTAGTCTCTACCCTCACCTGTAGTCACAAGCTTTGGATGTTGACAGAAAGAATAAATTATGCAGATACAAGCAGCAGAAATGAGCTTTCTCTCATTTCTGTGACTGGGTGAAGGGTGACTGGCCTCTCCCTTGGAGACAGAGTGAGGAGTACAATGATTCTGAAGGGACTGAAAGTAGAGCTGCTAGTCTTCTGCTTCAAAAGGAGACAATTGAGGCGGTTTGAGCATTTGACGAGGATGCTCCTGGGCCTCCTGGCTGAGGTGTTCTGGCATGTCTGACTGGGAAGCACTGGAGACCTTGATGCACATGATGAAGAGATTACACCTCTCTGGTGTCCTGGGAATGCCTTGGTGTTCCGCTGGATGAGCACTGCTTAGGCTGCTGCTTCCCTGCAAAAGTGATGGATGGATGGACTATTTTAACTGAAAGAAACTTTAATTGTTCACTAATCCACAATGTCTTAAGTTCATCTTTCACTTGTGATATCTGTTGCTCAGTCTCTTTCCTTAAGTCATCTTTCACGATGGATAATCAGTTCCATTCCTCTTTATCTAAGTTCATGCAAAGCTGATATGAGGCTTCAACAGTCTTCATAGTGTAAAATGTCCCTTTGCCACTTACAGCAACAAAAAGAAGAACTGTGAATCCTCTAATAAAGGCGTAAACGAACAGCGTTGACTCTTCCTTTTGTCTTCCACCAGTCGATGAAGCTGAAGCTGCAGCCCCCGTCGGGAACAGAGCTGGCACCCTTTAACCCCATTCTACCTCCAGCCTCCATTACTCAGATCATGCTGCTGGCCAATCCAGCAAAGGTAGATTACATATACACTTCCAGCGGCAACAATATACAAACAATACATAAACTATGTGGACAAAAGTGTTGGACTACGCCGTTTTATCTTTGAATTTAGGTGTTTTAAGCAGTTTTTTTACAAGTTGGTTATTCTAAATTTCAGTGTGGTGCTGTGATGGGTGTGACCACTGCAACAAGTCAGTTTCTGTTCCAGCATGACTATGCCCCAGTGTACAAACAAAGTGCATACAGGATCTGTTTGGTGATTGGCCAGCGGAGAATCCTGCCCCCTGAACACCTTTGGGATGACTGAGCAAAGATTGCAGAACATCATTGTCTACATCACAGATACTCCAAATCCTGTACAAGTCTTCCCTAAGAGTGGAGCTGTTATAACTGCAAATCTATGCCTATGGATTTGGAATGGGATGCCATAAAAGCTCCTGTACCTCTAACGTATAGGTAGCCAACACTTTTGTCCAAATAGTGCATTTTCAGAGCTGCCAATCCTTCTGCGGGATGTGTATAATTTGCATGTTCTTTGCTTGTCCTCGCAGGATAAGGTGCGTCTGCGCTACAAGCTGGCTTTTACTCTCGGAGACGCCCATGCACGAGGTCGGAGAGGTTGACCAGTTTCCCCCTCCAGAGATGTGGGGTCATCTATAGCAGCGGTGGAGACCGGCTGCTCAGCAGGGACAGGCTGGTTATACTCCATGAAGGGGTGTGGGTGTGCGCATGTGTGTGTGTTCATATCCATCCAGAGAGACCGGGGGGGAACGTTTGTTATATTCTTCACTTCAGCTTTACATTCCTTACAATAGTTCATGTTTTGGACGTTGTTATTGCTGAGATGACACGTCCATCTCAGCAATAACAACAGCAATCACTAAAAGTTTTATTGATGATTGATGCAGCGCTTGCAGATAGCTAACATAGCAAAGATAGACACTGGTATGTAAGGCCTTGGTGCTTATAGGCTATTGACAGATTTTTAATGCATTTTCCCCTAGGGGAAATGGTTTGAAACTGCAATGAATATGCATTAGAGACTTAAAATGTTGGGTTGATCCAAAAATATTTTAAAAGAAATAACCTTGAGTTAGCAGAGCCTGCGCTGCAGATGTGCTTCTATTTATTCGTGTTGCTGAACATTTATACTTGAATATATCTGAGAGTTGAAGATTAGGCTGACATGAAGGATTCAGTCAGATATCATTGCTGCGAAAGAGAAGAGGGCGTGTGTTTTGGATTATTCTATGGATGGATTTTGGATATGTGTGAGTAAATTGTGTTGCTAATGTAGCCCTCTGCTAGGTTATGAAGGAACGTTGTGCAGCAGGACTTAGATGGTAATGTGTAATTGCAGAAATGCAGTTAGGAGTCCAACGTGGTTTTATTTCATGTTTTCATTTTTAAGATAAATGATTCTCAGTTAGTGGTTGTCCATAGTTTGGTTTTGTATTATTAAACATGTTTACGCTCCTCCTACCAGGCTCAGTATTGGGAGTATTTCTGTCGTAGTTATTTTCTGTTCCTGGTACGACAGTGGATCGCTAAACCCAACAAATGTGAACTGAACCAACCTGAATCTGATCCAGAACGAACACAGATTATTATCCAGTATGCAGCAGTGGGATGGAGGAAACTGTACTCGGTCCTCTCCGACCCCTTTCACTTTCTGCACACCGAAGATGTGGATACATTTATATTTGTTTAGTGATCCACGCTGAGATCCCGTTAAGCCGTCATCAGATTCAATAGGAAGAATCTGTGAACTGTCATCTACAGACCTCTTGGCAGATCTGCCGGCTTTAAAACTTGGACTTTGCTACAAAAAAGGTCCTGCAGCCACCTCAGCCTGTTTGCAATCGATAAGTTTACATTTTTTAAGTTATCTCAAAATTTCAACGTATAACTCAAACTGCTGAAATTTAAACAAACTTCTGTAATATTTGGATGAAGTCACTTTTCTTTCAGGCCTGCTTCACAGAGGGTAGAGCAGATAATCTTGCTCTGTGGACTATAACCTGTGCATAGAGTGATTTACCAATGCAATTTGGCAACTACAAACAGTCTGTCAAGTGTTGATAGTGAAGAGTGACATTCGTGTTGCTGCTGTAACATGTTTGATAGATGGTCGTCCATATGACAGGTTCACTAATCTGGGCTGAGGTATTACCAGGTTCTGTTAGTGGTCTTTGGGTTCACGGCCATCTTCCTTCCCAAATTGTCACGTGGCGGAGCTATTAAAAACAGAATCCAGGTTGTTTCAGTTTTTTGTTTTACAGTAACCCAGGCCATCTCAAAGCTTTAAATATTTTATACCCAGACTAAGAATTATGTTTTATCAAAGACTTCAGCTTTTTTTTCGGACCTTACATGCGCTCTAAAACACATTCAGACAATGTTTGATCCATTCATATTCCCACATCTCAACATAAAAAGGACCAACCAACCTACAATTTAAAGCGCTACACTGAAGGCGCTGAATACTTGAGTTCATGATTTTATTCATTTAAAATGAACTCAGAACATTCAGGGGTCTGAACGCTTTGACTTCACTGCGCCCCATCTCTGATAGTCCTCTATTCATCATACTGGATGTACAGAAGTGTGTTTACTGTACATAGCATCTAATGTAATGTACCTGCTGTTTGGTGTATGACAACTTCTGTGAAAATGTGACTTGTAGATTTGGGGAGAGTGTTAGGACTGTATATATAAAGGTATGATGTGTCATTTCTTTGCTGCATGAAAAAAAATAAAGAGTCTTCATGGATGTTTGATGTTCTGAAGTCATTTTGCTTGACAAACCATCTCCAAAAAGGTCAGATTTCAATGAGTATCATGAAGTGTTTTATTATCAAAGAGCACATTGTGATTAATGATTCTTTAATATATACAGTACAAAATGCAAAGTCAAACTTTTATATTTCCACCGTTCCCTCTTTGACTATCGCTTGAGCCAGATTCCTGGCCAGAGCGAGTCTCAGGAGCTCCACTTTGGTCACCTCTACGTCTTCCTCCTGCAACGACAAAAACACTCAAATAAAAAGATGAAGCAATCTAGTAAGACTTCCAGAGTGACATCTGCCTACATGTCATCTTAAATTAAAACAGTGGTGATAGCAGCACCAATATTAAACAGCTATTAGAGAGCTTTTAGTCTGATTGTGTGGAAGGGAATAAGGCCATGTGAGGACATGCATACCTGCATAGGCTGTCTGTGCTGGATGCAGTAATGTTCAGGGAGGAGGTGAGCTCCTCTAAACAGAACATCAGCTCATAGGTTTGATCTGCTGTGAAGATCACCTGAGAAGAAGAATCACTGTTGTTGTAGGGCAGCAACAACTGATTCAGACGTACAACTCTGGTTACACCATAATTAGGACATCAAAGTTTATGTTGTTCAGTTTAAATCCGCACCAGTTTGGGGGACACTGCAGTTTATTGTGGTGGGTATCATGCAGACTGCAGTAGAAAATATCTCGGTCGTACATTTCAGTATCAGATTTCTTTAGGGCTGCTCGATTATGGCAAAAATGATAATCACGGATTATTTTCACTGAAATTGAGATCTCGATTATTTGACGATATTTATTTAACCCTTTAAGACCTACTATAGAACCAAGTCCGCCAGAGCTTATATTATTTTTTACATGTTGTAGTGCCATTTGTGGGAGCATTTCAAGTTGCTATATAACTGTTATAGCCCATATTTTAATAATATGTATGCATTAAGTCCATAGTAACTACATTAATTGCAAAAAGTGCAATAAACTACAAAAAATTGAAAATCGTTTTTGTTTTTTACATATATTTCTACTTGGAGAAATTTAAGAGGCTTATCCCTCAAAACTTTAAATACAAAAAAGTTGCAAAAAATCGTTTACAACAACAGGAAATTTATTTTGAGTGTCTTCATAGTTTTATTTTGGAGATACACCAATTTTTATATACTAGAGGAAAAACGAAAAAGCAATCCTATGATGCAAATTTGCAAAGAAAACAGCATGTGCATCAAAATAAACTATTTCCAGCAGTGCAATTCGAGTTCTAAGCATCCCAGCAACTATTCAGAAAAGTATAGAGTCAAACATGACTTATAAAAACACCAGTATAGGCTTTTAAGGCCTACAAGTAAAAAACTACATTTTCCGCGAAAATGACGTCACTTCCGGTTTCGGGCAGGAAATGGCAGACATGCGATAGTTCGCGCTGACGTCTGTTTCACTGTGGGAAGTGTTACGAACAGCTGATCGGATCAGCAAAGCGTGTTTCTGGAATATTATGTTTTTGTTCCTGCAAGCGCTTTTTATGCAATTTTTTGCAAAGCTATATGTGGAAGGAAACCGTGGACCGAGGACAAGCTGATGGCATAAGATGTAAGTACAACTCCTCCGGTTTCATATGCAAAACAAATTATTGCGCTAGCTTACACGGTTCAGGTTCTACAGGGATTTAAAATAGTTACACAAACGGAGCGTGCTGCTCTGACCGGCTTTAAAGGGTTAACAATAACAATGTATTGAATAATGACTTTTAAAAATAATATAAAATAGTGTGCAACACCACTGAAGTTTTTTTTACTTCTCTTTTCAACCAACGGCAGTCACTCTCCTCTCCAATAACTTCTGCTTAGCTTTCCGAGCTTCCCTGGGTCCTCTTAATCAGCGGTCTCCAACCTTTTTTGCGCCACGGACCAGTTTATGCCCGACAATATTTTCACGGACGGCCTTTAAGGTGTCGCGGATAAATGAGGGAGGGCTATAATCGGCTCAGTCATTTTTAATGATCGTTGAAAGCCCAGATCGTAATCGTGATTAAAATTCGATTAATTGAGCAGCCCTAGATTTCTTGTAATTATCACACTAATTTTGTCCAAAACTGGACTTGTTGCTGGTGACTAACCTCTTTCTGCTCCAGCAGTGGCAGAGCATCGGTCAGCAGAGTCATCCAGAAGCTTTGTGGAGCAATCTTTGCAGTCATCAGGGAGAGGAGCAGCTTTGCTGCCTCCCTGAAACGCTTCTCTCCGTACAGCTTGTGGAACTCGGCGGTACTTTCCTGAGAAAGACATAAAGCAGAGTTTTCACACTCAGATGTGCTCAAATTATCCAGGAGGTTTTGTGCATGTTCCTCCTCAGTTCACAAACAGCAATAATCTATAGGAACGTATTTTATCTGTGTTTATCTCATATTTTTACTGATTTTTCAGTAGTAAAACGCACCATGGCATGCTGTTGCACTAAACAACAGGCTAGCTTTATTTAGACGTCTGTGTGCACATTTATGTGTCTGAGACTCATGTGAACTGAAGCTGGTCTGACTGAATGTCCCGTCACTTCATGTGTTGACTGAACTTGTGAGAATGACGCAGTGGCTGAGTCACAAGTGGGGCGGTGCTACTAGTCCTCCAGTAACTGTGTATTCCCCGAGCATACCGAGAAAAGTCAGCCTGTCGCTGAGGAGCATTGCCGGGCCCAAGTTATCAATCAGGTCCAGATCAGAGAAGGTCCCTTTGGCACAGTAATCCTGTAGGAACCTAAAACACAAGTATACCATAAACACACCACAGAACCCATAACACAAACATTCAGAGGGCAGAAGGGTTGGTTGCTGTTTGATGGTA